GTACGGTGTCTCTTCAACGAGGAGAGCGCGGCATGGCCGGTGAGATCGCTGTTCAGTGATCGATACGGACGGCACGATAATTAAATTAACGCCGAGAATCGACTCAGCGCGGGTTGCTATCCCGACATCGACGTGCCGTCGAATTAGATCGACGCAAACTGAGATCGTAGTTCCTTCTTGACACGGTTTCGCCGATGCGGATCCAAGAAGGTGAACATGTACGAACTCGCGATTCAGAATCTCCGACGCTGCATTCTGATGTGCGATTCCCGTAGATTCGACTGAATATCGCTGGCGATTATTCCGCGGTCAAGCCATAGACGTGTTCAAAACGCTACCTGACGAACATTTTGACTGTGTTTGGACCGACCCGCCGTATCTTCTTTCTAGTGGCGGTATCACATGTCACGCAGGGAAGATGGTGAGCGTTGACAAGGGCGATTTGGACACACTGGCCGAGGTTGGAACATGACCGTGTCTGGAATTCACTGAGGATGGATGGCGGACGTGTGTCGGGTGCCTCAAACGCAGACCTGGAACGATGTGGTGGGTAGCGTGCGGGACGCTTCATTTCAATCATCCATTGTCTCAGATGATGGCGTTTGATCAAGACCGGATTTCGAGTGCTCAACGACATCATATGGGAGAAACCCAATCCACCGCCCAACCTCGGTTGCCGCACATTCACGCACTCGACAGAACTCGTATATTGGGCAGCGAAAGCCAAAAAGGGCGACCGCCCGAACTACGTCTTCAACTACGGCGACATGAAGGATGAGAACGGCGGCAAGCAGATGAAGAATGTTGGAGTTCACGACGGCAAGGACCGCGTGAGAGAAAGCAACGCCGGAAAACACCCGATCGCAGAAGAAAACTGTGGCGTTGATTGAGACGATGAAATAAGAGCGTAGAACAATCCAAGAAGAAAATGTGTTGGATCACGTTCAGCTGGTGTGCTGTGGCCAGCACGGGTGTCGCAGCCTTGAAAATTGGACGACGATTCGTCGGAATCGAAGTTGAAAAAGAGTTCATAGACATCGGTTTGCAGAGGCTGATCTGAAAATCTGTAATTCCCCCCCCTCGTGGCGCTTATGTCGGAAATACGCCTCTTCAAGGCTCCACAGATCCCGGGTTGCTCCTGGATTCGGACGAGGATTGAGGCATGTCACCGCGGAACACCCGGACCGGGGAGGTCATGGAGCAGATGGTTCTGCCCGCATTGGAGATGGGCGGTTACGAGATCACTCGTCAAAAAACCATCGGCACGCGTTTTGGTGTTTCGAAGCACAACGTCGACACATACGCACTGGACAAATTTGGGCGACCTTATCTGATCTCCCTCAAGTGGCAACAAGTCTCCGGTACTGCTGAACAGAAGATCCCGTTTGAGGTTGTGTGCCTTGCCGATGCCATGATGCGCAACGAGGAATATTTCAAGGCATACCTCGTACTCGGCGGTGGCGGATGGCGATTTAAAGATTTTTACCTGTCAGGCGGATTATCCGCATTTTTGGTCAACGCCGACCTCGTCAACATCGTTTCGCTTGAGCAATTCGTGGCACTGGCGAATCAGGGTAGTTTGTGATGACACGTCCTATACAAAAAGACTGTTTCAAACACGCCGGTCAATCAAACGATCTCAATCGGACGTTACTGGACGGGATCGTTGTAATTGCCGACAAACATCGGGAAGGAAAAAAGGCCGTCACAAATGTCCGTATTGCGCATACGAATTGGGAATGAAGCATGGTTATGCAAAAGCTTTGGAAGAAGTGACGGCGTGCCTTGAACAACTGCGACGTTAACAATCGCGGATCGAGCGATCTCTAGACTTTCGCCCGTTCCCTCGCAAATGCGCGGCCGGAACTCGACAACCGATAGCGTCCCGACATGTTGCCCTCGCGAATGAAATGGGATCCTTGTTCGGGCGGGTTCCCGATGTTTTCGTTTATTCTGCCACGGATGCTCGATTCAATCGCGCCCCAATCGTAGGTTTTCCCAGCTTCGCTCGCCAATCGGACGACTACATCGTAAATCTCACGCAGATGAACGAAATGTTCACCCGCGTCGTGCAGGGTATTCGAATCTATCGCTGCGGTTCCAAGGTTCTCAAGAGCCTTGACAACGAACTCGAGTTGTGTTCGTGGCCACCAATCATCAAAAGGTTGGCGAATCAACTCCTCGAGCTCGCGGTACAGGTCTAGCAAGTCGCTCGGCGGTTCGGTATCGAACGGCACATTTCGAGCTTGCTCACACAGCACTCGGTACTTGGTTAAGAATTCTTCGCTTGGTTCGATGAGGTCCGGATGCCCGATGATGCTGTCGAAGATCCCGATGGTTTGCTTTATCGGCGCTTCGTCGACGGTGCCGCGCAGTATCGTGTTGACCTCGGTGTTGTTGATTAAACCACCGAGCGTCAAATTCGAGGATCCAATAACTGCCGTGTACGAACGGTAATCTTCCGTCCAGACGAACATCTTTGGATGGAATCGATGACTTTGAGTCAAATCCCACCCAAAATGCAACCGATATCTCATCCTTGCAAATCTTGAGTTGAGATGCATCAGTCGTTCAATCGCGTCAGGTTCCGTTATTCGGAAATCTGCACCGTGGACTATGTTGATCGCGCTTTCGCCCTCCAAAATCCGATGAGTTTCGGGCAAAACGTAACCCAATCCTCCGCGATTTAGAAATGCAGAAGCGATACGGACCTCGTCCGCTGCTGCAAGTTCATTCTGGAGGAAGTGGCCGAGAGGACGTTCAGAGTTTTGTTACGAAGGTTCATTCATGATGCGATTGTAATCTGTAATGACACTTACGCCCCCCCTCCCCCTCCAGTTAGTAGCACCGAGTTATGGCGACGATGTAAAGGGATTGAAATCCATACGCACCGATCCGTCGGCGTCCACCTTCGTGCTGATCGAATCGAGCGGCAGTTGGATATCAGAAGACTGACCAATTGCCATGACTGTCACACCCCTTCACAAAGCCATACACCAGTCGAACACCACGACCCGTCCCCACGCTTGTCGCGGGCTGACGTCGCGCGTCGGGCGGCGAGGATGTTGCCACATGGCGCGGTGGTGAATCTTGGTATCGGCATCCCTTCGCTTTGTGCGGATTTCGTTCCCGAGGGGGTGCAGCTTCGGTACAGGCTGAGAACGGGGTGTTGGGTTACGGCGAATTGTTGGCGCCGGAGGACGGCGATCCTGATCTGATCGATGCGAGCGGGCAGTTTACTAAGATGACGCCGGGGATGGCGTTTTTTGACTCGGCGGAGTCGTTTGCCATGATCCGAGGCGGTCACATCGATGCGACGGTGCTTGGTGCGTTGCAGGTGTCGGAGAATGGAGATTTGGCTAACTGGATGCTGCCGTCGCGGGGTATTGGGAGTATCGGTGGCGGGATGGATTTGGCGGCTAACACCAAACGGGTGATTGTGGCGATGGAGCATACGACGAGGCGCAACTTGCCCAAGAATATCCTCAGGGAGTGCGAATTCCCATTGACGGCTCAGCGGTGTGTTACCGACATCGTTACCGACATTGCGGTCATTTCCGTCACTGACCAAGGGTTGGTATTGGAGGAATGTGCGCCGGGTTGGAACCCGGAAGATGTGCAGGCTTTGACGGCAGCAACTTTGCAGTTCCAACGGAAAGAAGCGTTCGCGATGAAGATACTGATATCCGGACGGTAGTTGTCGGTAATCCGTGGAAGAACTGGATTCTACGTGGTTGTGGAAACCGACGCGGGGTATCGGGGCGTCGGAGAGGCCACAGGTGGATTGAGCACGCAACCGACAGTTGCGGCGGTGGAAGAAGTGAAACACCTCGTGATGGGCCGCGATCCTCGGGACATCCACGCGATCTGGAACGAACTCTTATTTCGCAGGTTTTCTCAACATCAATCGGGAGATGTGCGGCATCGAGATGGCGTGTTGGGACATCCTCGGCAAATCGTTGGATGTGCCAGTGCATCGATTGCTCGGCGGTAAAGTGCGGGACGACATCCGGGTATACGCGAATGGATGGTATTCGGGGCGCGGCACGCCGGAGGGATTCGCGATCGCGCTCGGGGTGTGGTTGCGCGCGGACTATACGGCGCTGAAGTTCGACCCGTTCGGTACTGCGTATCTCACGATGTCCAAGCAGGAGACCCGAGAGACCCAGCTCTGTCGCTGCGGTACGTGAGGCTGTCGGGCCCGATGTTGAGATCATGATTGAGGCGCACGATCGATTCGGCGTGGGAGCGGCGATTGAGATCGGGAACTGGTTGGCTGAGTACGAAGTCACTTGGTTCGAGACGCCGGTGTTGTCGAACGACGTTGATGCATTGATCGAGGTCGCCAAGAGAGTGCCGGTGCGAGTGATCGCTGGCGAACGGATGCATGAGCTACACGACTTCGCACGATTCCTGAATGCGGATGTGACGGACATAATCAATCCGGAACCGCTTGGCGTTGGTGGGATGTGGCGGCACGCTGCAGATCGCTGGGATCGCCCGGGCTCACCATGCGCAACTAGCGCCGCACAACGCGGAGAGTCCGTTGAAGACGATGGCGACGTTGCACATCGACGCGGTGACTCCGAACATCTATATCCAGGAGTGCTTTGACGACTTCTTAGAGCCGTGGGTTGACGACGTGCTGACTGGTTTCGAGCGCGTGAAAGACGGAAAGTTGCGGATACCTGATGCGCCGGGATTGGGTGTGGAACTCAACGAGGTGGAGGCGGCAAAGCATCCGTACGGGAAGTCGAATTTCCTTCGGATGTTCCGGCCTGGTTGGGAGCGGCGCGACACCGCTGAGGCTTAAGCGGATTGTATGTATCTGGGTTTCAGACGGGAATGGTTAGAATTGTTGCGGGTTGGGTTTGTCGGGGAGATGTGGCGCTCACGAGATAGGTAAGGCATGTTGAAGATAGCAGTCTGCGCGAAGCAGGTGCCGGACACGGATATTCCTCCTTCGCAGTTCAAGGTCGATGAGGCGGGACTACGTGTGATTCCGCCAGCTGGGAGTGCCACCGATTGTGAATGGGTTCGACATGAACGCGGTGGAGGCGGCGCTGCGATTGCGGGATGCTGGTGTGGATGTGGAGATCGTGATCTTTTCGGTGGGGACGGGTTTGCGTTGGATGTGATGAAGAAGCCGTTGGCGATCGGGGCGGATCGGTTGGTTTTGGTGGATGATGAGGCATCAGAGTCGCTGGATGCATTGGGTACTGCGAGAGTCTTGGCTGCGGCGATTGAGCGTGATGGCGGAGGCGGATTTGGTGTTGGCGGGTAGGCAGGCTTCGGACTGGGATCAGGCGCATGTGCCGATCATGTTGAGCGAGTTGATGTCTGCTCCGTTGGTGACTTTGGTTCGAACTTTGGGTGTTGGAGGTGATGGGAGTGGGTTCGAGGTTGAAAGGGTTGCTGAGGGAGGTTTCCAACGTATTGAATGTCCGATGCCGGCGGTGATGACGGTTACGAATGAGTTGGGCGAGGCGAGGTATGCGAATCTTCGTGGGATAATGGCGGCGACTCGAAGCGGCCCGGAGGTCTTCACTTTGGCGGACTTGGGGTTGAGCGATTTGGTTGAGGAGACGAAGCTGGAGATGACGCGGCTGTTTGTGCCGGTGTCCGAGTCGAGCGTGGAGTTTATCGAGGGTGAAGATGAGGCGGATGCGGGTCGGTTGCTGGCTTTGAGATTGCGGAGGCGAAGCTGATATGAGTGGTGGCGTTCTTATCGTGGGCGAGGTGGTTGTTGATGGTCGACTGCATCCGACGGTTCGACAGTTGGTGAATGCGGCTGGCGGATTGGTGGAGATGTTTCATTGTGTTTGGGTGTTGACTCTTCGTTTGAAGCGGCGGTACTAGAGGGTCTGGACGTCGGCGATGTGATCTTGTTGGAGCATCCTGAGGCCGGAGCGGATGGTATTGGTGGTGTTTATTCGTTGACGACGGAGTTGGTCTGTGAGGCGGTGCAGCGGATGGCGCCGAGTGTTGTGCTGGTTAGCAAGACAGACGCTGGCTCGGTTGTAAGCGCACGAGTGGCGGCTCGGTTCGGGGCTGGTTTGGCTTCGGACTGTATCGATTTGGCGGTGAATGCGGAAGGCCGGGTCGCGGTTACGCGTCCGGTGCATGGTGGCAACGCGTTGGCGGTTTACGAGTTCGCGGGTGACGGGTTGCAGGTGGTCTCGGTTCGCCCCGGCGCGTTCGAGGCGGTTGAAGGTGTGAGTGGGATGCCGGAGGGTAAGCGCGTTGAGATGTCGGCGATTGAGATGTCGGGTGCGGTTCCGGTTTTGGTTGAGACTGTGTTGGAGGAAAGTGAGGGGATTCCGTTGGAGCAGGCCGATGTTGTGGTCTCGGGCGGTCGAGGACTTTGGTGGTCCGGAGCCGTTTGATCAGTTGAGGGAGTTGTGTGGGTTGTTGAATGCGGCGTTGGGCGCGAGTCGGGCGGCTTGTGATGCGGGATGGATCGATCATTCGCATCAGGTCGGGTTGACGGGCAAGAGCATTAGTCCGACGACATATATAACGGTCGGGATTTCCGGTGCGAGCCAACATATGGCGGGCTGCTCGTCGGCGCGGAATATCGTGGCGATCGACAAGGATCGGGAGGCGAATATCTTTTCGCATGCTCGATATGGTGTGGTTGGAGATTGGGCAAAAGTATTGCCGGCTTTCACGGCTGCGGTCGCGGAGTTGGACTGAGATAGGAGTATCGAAATGAGTAAAAGCGGAGATCGGCCGAACATTGTGTTTCTGTTTCCGGACCAGTTCCGGGCGGATTTTGCGGGTTGCTACGGTGCGGACTGGTTGAGTACGCCGAATATCGATCGAATTGCGCGCGATGGGGTGCGTTATGCGAATGGTTTTTCGCAGTCGCCGGTCTGTGTTCCGGCTCGGACGGCGTTGTTGACGGGGGCAAATGCGATCCGCAATGGGGTTACGAATAATACGCAGAACTTGCGGGGTGATTGGCGGGAGGCTGGGATGCAGACTTGGCCCGAGATTTTGAATGATGCGGGTTACTACACGGCGGGGATCGGGAAGATGCACTTCTACCCATGGGACGAGCGTCGGGGCTTCCAGTATCGGGTGGTCTGCGAGGACAAGCGGTGGTTGCACGTGCGGGATGACTACTACCACTATCTGAAGAAGCACGGCTTGCGGAAGCTGCATGGCGATGAGATGGATGGGTATCACGAGAACAAGGGCGCAGTGCTTCACGACATCCCGTGGGAGCACTCGTGGGACCGTTTCGTGGGTTCGGAGGCGGTGAAGTTCATCGATCGGTATGGCGGCGAGGGTCCTTTTGCGATGATGGTTGGCTTTCCGGGGCCGCACTGTCCGTACGATCCGAACGAGCGGTTCTTGGACGGCGTCGACGAGAGTCGGTTGCCGGCGGCTGCGCCGGAGGTTCCGGGTCACCATTCGAGTTTGCGGGAGACTAATGTTTCGGGTAACCGTCGACCTTGGAACGGGGTCGATTACGGGGAGTTCCCGGATGAGACGAAGGTGACGATCCGGAAGCACTACTCAGGTCTGGTGCAGCAGATCGACTATGAGGTGGGGGCCATATTGGAGGCGTTGGAGCGGCAGGGGTTGTTGGAGAATACGTATGTTGTGCTGGCTTCGGACCATGGCGACTATCTGGGGGACCACAACCTGATCGGGAAGGCATCGTTCTTCGAGTCGGCGATTCGGATTCCCTTTGTGGCGATGGGTCCCGGTGTCGAAGGTGGTCAGGTGGTCGAGGATCTGGTCGAGTTGCGGGATGTGACGGCCACGATGTTGAGGTGGGCTGATGTTGAGTTGCCGGTCTGGTACGACGCGATGCCGTTGCCGGGTGAGGGGATGCCGGGGGAGAGCGGACGGGATCGGATCTTCGGGATGTTGACGGATGGTTGGATGAACTACGACGGTCGGTTTAAGCTGCATCGCTATCGATCGGGAGAGGCGCTGCTGTTCGACATCGAGAACGATCCTCACGAGCAGGTGAATCTGTTGGACGATCCGGCCTATGCGGACGTTCGGCACCGGTTGGAGGGGGAACTGTTTGCGGAGGTTATGACTTCGATCGAGGCGGCTTCGCAGGACCGATTGGCGCAGCATGGCGACATGTCGCAGGATCCCTGGATTTGGTCGGAGAGCTGGGTGCGGGAGTTTCCGCATGCGCCGGTGATGTGAGGGGGGCGATTGGAGGATCCGTCGGAGCGGTTGACCAACAGCGGTCACTCCGACGTTTAGGTTCCTGTTGGTTTACGGAGGTTCGAATTGGGATTAATATATGCGCATGACTAAGCAAGAGATTTCCGATTCGTTGCGGGCTGAGCGGGCTCGTTATGTGGCTTCGAATGCGGGGTCAGGGTCCAAGCATGAGGAGGCTCGGCAGTGGTTGCCCGGCGGGGATAGTCGGAACTCGATCTTTTGGGGTCCGTTTCCGATCTATGTGTCTAGGGCCGAGGGGTCGAAAATCGTGGATCTGGATGGGAATGAGCGGGTAGATTTCATCAACAACATGACGACGTTGATCCTTGGTCATCGGCATCCGGCGGTGATCGATGCGTTGCGTGAGCAGCTGGAGCGTGGGGTTTCGTATCCCGCGCCGACGCCGTTGGTTGTCGAGTGGGGTGAGTTGATGTGCGAGCGGGTGCCGTCGCTGGACAAGGTGCGGTTTGTGAACTCGGGGACGGAGGCGACGTTGAATGCGATTCGAGCGGCGCGGGCGTTTTCGGGCAAGAACCTCTTGGCGAAGTGTGAGGGTGCGTATCACGGGAACCACGACGCGGTGCAGATCAGCGTGACGCCGGCTGTCGGAATGGCCGGCGATGCGGAGTCGCCGGATGCGGTGTTGATGACGCGTGGGATGACGCCGAGGTCGGCGGATGAGATCGTGATCATGCCGTACAACGATCTCGAAAATGCCGAGCGGGTGATCCGAGAACATGCGGACGAGTTGGCGGCGGTGATTGTGGAGCCGATCAATGGTCAGTGCGGGATGGTGCCGGCCGAGCCGGAGTTCTTGGACGGGCTGCGTCGGTTGACGTCGGAACTGGGGATTCTGCTGATATTCGACGAGGTGATCGCCTTCCGGGCGTCGCGCGGAGGTGCGCAGGAGTATTACGGAGTGACAGCCGGACTTGACGCTGTTTCGGGAAGGTGATCGGCGGCGGATTGCCTGTCGGCGCGTTTGGAGGTCGGGAAGACATCATGTCGATGTGGGACCCGAGCCAGCCGGGGGGTCCGCAGGTGTCACATGCGGGGACGTTCAACGGCAATCCGATGACGGCGGCGGCGGGAGTTGCGACGTTGCGGGAGTTGTCGGTGGATGTCTACGAGGAGTTGGAGAAGAAGGGGGATTATTTGCGGCAGAAACTACGAGACGTGATCGCGGAGATGGAGGCGCCGATGGGGGTCACTGGCGCGGCGTCGTTGTTTGGTATTCAGGCGACGTCGGAGGCGGTTCGGGACTACCGCTCGTATGCGACGAATGACGGCGATTGCTGGAGATGGTGTTCATGGGGATGATGAACGAGGGTTATTTGGTGTCGAGCAAGTGCGCGGGGAATGTATCGGCGGCGCACACGTACGAGGAGCTGGACGGGTTCGTGGGCGCGTTCGAGCGGGTGCTGCGGCGGGCTTGGGGGGAGTAGGGGGAGGCCGCGGCCACTCGGAGATGCGGTTTTGGCCGTTCGAGCGAGTGGTGGGCGGTGGAGGATTCGAACCTCCGACTTCTTGCTTGTAAGGCAAGCGCTCTGGGCCTCTGAGCTAACCGCCCGGTGTATTGGATTTTAACAGCGGGGTTCGACAGGGTGAGTCTGTTTTCGGGCCTGTGTACACTTTCGATAGAAGTCGAAATAACCTTCTCGAGCGACTGATAAGCCGTTAACGATGACTACTGCAGCACATACTCACGAAGATCTGGCTACCAAACAGCATGTTGATGAGCGCTTCGATCGGCTTGAGGAAAGGCTGGCCGAATCTGACTACAAGCATACTCAGAACTACGCGCAGCTCAGCAATTCGTTTGTATCGATGCTGAATGTCATGACGAGTCTTACCGAACGGATGACCAAGCTGGAAGAGCGGATGACCAAGTCGGAGGAGAATCAGCGCGTCATGATCGAGATCTTGGAGCGGATCGAGAAGTCGACGAGCCGAGGCGTGGGTTTCTAGACTGGTCTAGCGGCAAGATCTGGCTTAATTCTTATCGTTTTCTTCTAGTTCTTGAATACGCCTTCGCGTCGCCTCGATCTGCCTGCGAGTCAGGCGGTAGCGGCGGTTTTTGCGGTCTTCTTGGGCGAACCAGCGGAGAAAGAGGGTTGTGAGGGTTGCGAGGTAGATGATGTTGCCTGGTATCCACATCAACAGTCCGCCGATGCGTTGGTCTTCGTTGGGTGTGAGGGTGAAGTGATGGGGGGTGTCGATGTATGGGGTGTAGATGACGGCGTTGGAGAGGGTTATGATGGCGGCGAGGACTGCGGTGGGGGTGACGACGAGGATTAGGTAGATGATGCGCTGAGGATCGGTTAGTTGGAATCGTACCGGTGGCGGTCCGATGATCGGCCACCAGAAGAGGAGCGAGGTGGTGAACATGGAGAGGTGCATCGCGAGGTGAGCGTAGTTGTTGTCGATTGCGAGTGCGTAGGCTTCGGGGACGTGCCATCCCCAGAGGGTTAGGACGAATGCTGGGAGTGCGAATTTCGGGCTGGTGAAGGTTGCGGTGATGCGTCGTAGCCAACCGGTTTCGGCGAGGGACGGTGCGAGTCCGGCGCGGATGGTTTCGGGCATGGCCCAGAGGTATGCGGCCATCGGTGACGCGGCGAGGAGGAGGACGGATGCGACCATGGCGATGAGGATGTGCTGGGTCATGTGGGCGAAGAACATGTCGTCGGAGAATGCTTCGGGAGGTCCGGCGACGGCGAAGAAGAGGATTGCGTATCCGCCGCCGGCGTAGAGCATCTTGCGGATGGGTACGGCCTGCCATCCGGAGCGGATTTGAAGTCGGAGCATCCCTATGAGGTAGGTGAGGGAGAGGAACGCGACAACGATGAACTGGGGTCCGGAGAAGGACCAAGAGGAGAAGAAATCGCCGATGGAGTTGGCGACTTCGGGAGAGGGAGTCATGGTTTGGGGCCTTTCATACGTCGTACCATCAATTCGATGTACGACGGCCCCGTTGGGTGAAACCGTGGGCGGTTATTGCTGGGTTTGATTTCCGAACTGAAGGAGCAGCAGCAGCGCCGCAAATATGCCGATGCCGATCATCATGCAGGCCGTGAATATCCATGCGTAATATTTGCGGTCGAATTTCAAGTGCATGAAGAATCCGACGACGAGGATGAACTTGAGGAGCGAGAGAACAAGCATAAAGGGTACGAGGAGATCGCCGAGGGTTTGCCAACCGAAAGCCCAGACTTCGACCAGGGTGATGATGCTGAGGATGGCACCGATGAGGACGTAAGAACCATGGGGTGCCGTGATGGAAGTTAGCGGCGGTGATGATTTCCCAGGTTCTCTTTAACGGTGCCATGCCGTGGCCGAAAGGGCCTCCATCTGTGGATTGGGGTTCTGCCACTGGGTTCGAGGAAGATCCCACCAGCCTTGGCCTTCGTGGTAGAGAAGTTTGTTCCAGAAGTTCGACATTTTTTCGTGCTTTGGTGCGGCAGTAGCTTGGTCGATAGTTATGTTCGGATTCAGTGTCCGACGAATGGGACGCTGCCTGGGGGCGCGACATCACGCGCCGAGATGAGGTATATGACGGTAAAGATGACGATCCATACGATGTCGACAAAGTGCCAGTAGAGGCCTGCGATCTCGAGGTCGATGGCGTTGTCGGCGCGTAGCGAGCCTTTTATGCTTCCGAATCCGAGGAAGATGAGCCAGATCACTCCGAGAGTTACGTGGGCGCCGTGCAGACCGGTGAGGATGAAGAAGGTCGTCCCGAACAAGTTTGTGCGCGGCGTAAGGCCGAGTTGCCCAAAGTGGTTGAACTCGTAGACCTGGAAAAGCAGGAAGATCGCACCGAGAACGACGACCGAGAATATCCAGAAGGTGCCCATCTTCTGGCGTCCTTGTTGGATATACGAAAGGGCGAGCACCATAGCTAGCGAGCTCATCAGCAGCACGAACGTTGAGACGGACGTGATCGGGATTTCGAGAACGTCTGCCGGGTAAGGTCCGACTAGGCTGCGGTTGCGGTAAACGAGGTAGGTCGCGATGAAGGATCCGAAGAACATGACGTCGGATCCGAGGAACGACCACATGAGCAGTTTTTTGTTGCTCAAGCCGGTCGAAGTGTTGATTACTTCGCCGTGTTCGCTCTTGATTTCGTATGTACCGGTTGCGGCTGCCAATTCAGGTCGCTTTCCGTTCGGGAATCGGATCTAAAGATCAGTGTGCGTCTGGGGCTGGATCGTTGACTGGTTCGAACGACCAACCGAGCAATCCCCAGACAAGGAGGATTGCGCCGATGATAATCACCGGGACGATAGTCATCAGTCCGGCGCCGATGATGGTTAGTCCGGCGGCCAGAATGATCGGGTAGTAGGACATGTCGGGGAGATGAATTCCGCCGTGACCGTGTTCGTCGTCGCCGTGGGTGTTCGTCGGCATGCGCTTCTGCGTGCTCGTCCACGTCTTCAGCCATGTCGTCGTCGAATTGTGCGCCCGATGGAGCTGTAAGCTCTCCGGAGTGTTCGTCGTGGTAGTACTCGGCAATGAGTTCGGGGTGCTTTCGGAACCAGAAGTCGTCGCGGTGCGCAACGTTGGGGATCGTCTCAAAGTTGTAGTGAGGTGGAGGCGAAGAGATGGACCACTCAAGAGTTCGACCATCCCACGGGTCGTCGCCTGCGGGCACTCGTTTCTTGGCGCTGTAGAAGACGTTGATGATGAACAGGAGGACGGAGAACGCCATCAGGAAGCCGCCCGGCGGAGGCAATCATGTTGGTGTTTTCCCAGCCCATGTTCTCGGCGTAGGTGAAGATGCGGCGAGGCATACCATCGAGGCCGAGCCAGTGTTGCGGCGCGAACTGAAGGTTGAAGCCAATGAACATGATGTAAAAGTTGATTTTGCCGAGCTTCTCGCTAAGCATGTAACCGGTCGCCTTGGGCCACCAGAAGTAGATGCCTCCAAAGATGGCCATAATTGCTCCGCCAAAGAGCACGTAGTGGAAGTGTGCGACGACGAAGTATGTGTCTTGCTGTTGCGCGTCGGTGGGAACGGAGGCGTGCATTACACCTGACAGACCTCCGATTGTGAACATAGCGATGAATGAGATGGCGAAGAGCATCGCGGTGGAGAATCGTATCGAGCCGCCCCACATGGTGGCGATCCAGTTGAAGATCTTGATGCCGGTTGGGATAGCGATGGCCATCGTTGAGATGGCGAATGCGGAGTTGGCGGCTGGGCCCAGACCAACAGTGAACATGTGGTGGCTCCAGACGAACCAACCCATGAAGCCGATTGCGACTCCGGCGAAGACGAGGAAGGTGTAGCCGAATAACGGCTTGCGGGAGAATACCGGCAAAATCTCGGAGACGATTCCCATGGCTGGGAGGATCAGGATATAGACCTCTGGGTGTCCGAAGAGCCAGAACACGTGTTGCCAGAGGACTGGATCGCCACCGGCGGCTGTGTTGTAGAAGTGGGAGCCGTAGGCGGTCGACCTGAAGTTGGATGAGGGCTACGGTAAGGACTGGCAGTGCGAGGACGATGAGGACCGACGTTACAAAGGTCATCCACGTGAAGACGGGCATCTTCGTGAGCGACATACCAGGTGCGCGCATGTTCAGGATGGTGACGATGAAGTTAAGGCCGGCGGCGATGGATGCGACGCCAAGGATGTTCAGGCCGATTACCCAGAAGTTCATTCCGTTGGTCGGGTTGAACGCTACGTGTGAGTTGGGAGCGTATCCGAACCAGCCGCCATTGGGCGCATCGCCAATGAACCAAGAGAAGTTGAGGAACAGGCTACCGAAGAGGAATATCCAGTAACTGAGTGCATTCAGGCGAGGGAACGCGACGTCGCGGGCGCCGATCTGTAATGGGATGAGCCAGTTAAAGAATGCTGCGGAGAGCGGCATCACGACGAGGAACACCATGGTGGTACCGTGCATCGTGAAGAGCTGGTTGAACAGTTCGGGGTCGATCAGTGTGCTGTCAGCCTGCGAAAGCTGCACCCGCATCAGCAGCGCTTCGATGCCGCCAACAATGAACCACAGGAAAGAAGTTACGGCGTACAGGGTGCCGATGCGCTTGTGGTCGACGGTCGCAATCCAGCTCCAGATGCTGTATTCGCTCTTCGGCCGCGGGATGAAGCGCGGGAAACTCAACGAAATGGGTCCGCTGCTTGATCCTGGGTGTGTGGTCTGCATTGCTTGAGTGCGTGGAGGATTACCGAGTGTTGCCGGGTGCTGTCTTTAGTTTATCCGAGTTGATTGGTTGCTATTCGAGTGTTGAGATATAGGCAATCAGGTCATCGACTTGATTCGGCGGGATTTTGGGGACGACCATGGCGTTGGTGAATCCATCGACGAGGAATGCGCCGGGATCGTTAATGGATTGCCGCATGTAATCGTCGGCGGACAGCGATGTGCGGGTGCCGGCACGGTCGGCGATGCCAATGAGGCTCGGGCCGACTATCGTAGTGTCTGCGTCGAGCGAGTGGCAGGCGTTGCAACCGATGGAAATGAAGAGTTGTTCGCCTCGTTCTTCAGGGGTTCCGCCGGTGATCGCGGGCGCGACGAGTTGGGAGATATCGCCAGGTTCGAGGGCAAGCAGGTAATCGGCGATGTTTTCGACCTCTTGGTTCGAGAGGTTGATCTTGTTGTCTTCGCGCTCCTGATAGGCGGCGGCGTGAGCTTGCATGGACGTGCCGATCTTGATGTCGAATCTGGGTCATTGATCCACTTGATCAGATTTTCGCGTGAGTTCTCTTTGATACCTGAGCCTAGGAACAATCGCTCACCGTAGTGCGTCATGTTAGGCGCGGAAACGATTCGGGAGTTCTCGATGTCATCCAACCAGGTACTCCATCGCGAATCTTGTTGCTGGATTTCGAGCGAGTAGGCGTCTTGCCGCCAAGAGTCGTTGGTGTGGCAGGTCTTGCAGTTCGTGGCGAATAGGAGTTCGCCTTGGGCTTCTGCGCTGCCGGCTTCGAACGGCTCGGGCGGGGTACGCATGCCGGCGACCCACTCTTGGAATCCCTCTTCCTCGTGGGCGACAACGCGGAACCGCATATGAGCGTGGGCGATACCGCAGAATTCGGCGCATTGCCCATCGTAGATCCCTGGTTCATCAGCTATGAACCACACTAGGTTGTCGTTCAACGGCACCATGTCGACCTTGCCGGCCAGTTTGGGTACCCAGAAGCTGTGGATGACGTCTTGGGATGCGAGTTTTACGTTAACCGGCCTGCCAGTTGGGACATGGAGTTCGTTGGCGGTAACGATCTCTTGGTTGGGATAACGGAACTCAACCACCACCGGTGGCCGATGGCTTCCACTTCCAGCACATCACCCATATCGGTAGGTGCGCCGCGTTGCTGTTCCCAGATGCCGATGATAGTGGGTACTGCGATGGCGGCGACGACCAATGACGGGATGACGGTCCAGGTGATTTCGAGCTTGGTGTTGCCGTGGACCTGCTTGGGTATCTTGTCGTCGCGGCGTCGGTATCGGATTGCGATGTAGATGATTCCGCCTTCGACGACGATGAAAACGGCGACTGCGATCCAGAAGATCAGGAGGAAGAGGTCGCCTTGATCACGAGCAACCGGGCCAGCATATCCGAAAGTCGATTGCGGATGTCCGGGGGAGCACGCCGCGATGAAAAGGGTAGCGGCGAGAGCCAGCACTGGGAGTGCGAGCTTAGTGAATTTGGAGGAAGTCAGCCAGTTCTGCATCGAGATGCGGTCTTGTCTAAATCGGGTTTGACGGCCTGTCTGCGGTTCTTTTCGGCTCAGTTTCAAGCCTTGGCGTGGCTTCCCTCGAGAGTTTCGACATCGAGCGTAATCTCGTGATTAGAATATCATTCCGCGCCGCAAGTCGCAAAGTTAACAAGTCTTGAGGCGATCGTCAATCGTTTGGCGCGTCCATTGAGACACATTTTCCGTCTTAGCTTTCTAATCGGGGTCGATACCATGAATAAATCGCAGTCGGTTCGCGTACTGATCGCGACGCAGAACGCCGGCAAGGTGCGCGAATTTCGTCGGTTGTTGGCGCAGGTTCCGGCGATGTTCGTAGGTTTGGAGGATTTGCCGCGCATTGCGGCTCCGGAGGAGGATGGCTCAACATTTTTGGCCAACGCGATCATCAAGGCGAATTACTACTCTCGACATTTCGGAGAGATTGCACTCGCCGATGATTCGGGTCTGGTGGTTGATGCGCTGGACGGAGCACCGGGGGTTCACTCCGCGCGCTACGGCGGCGACGGGATTTCGGACATGGACCGGTTGTATCTCTTGTTAAAGAAGCTGGAAGGCGTGCCTGAACGGAATCGGACAGCGCGCTTCGAGTGCGCGATTGTGGTAGCCAACCCTGGAGGCGACTTCATGCACGCCACAGGGACTGTCGAGGGGCGGATCATCTTTGAACCTCGAGGGCAAAATGGATTCGGCTATGATCCGATTTTCGTGCCCGAAGGCCAGACTCGAACAACTGCGGAGATGAGCGCCGTCGAGAAGGACTCGCTGAGTCATCGAGGCCGTGCCATGGCGGCGATTATTCCCGCGCTGAACGATCTTGTACCCGGCTCGTGATCGGCGCGTCGTCTTGGTTTCTAATAGGCAGGTACAATCTCAATCACCACATCACACCGTATTTCGACGGGATGTGAAGGGTGTTAGTGCGTGAAATCAGTGGCGACAAGCAAGAAGATCGAAGACACGCTCGGTCGAGGTGTCCGTGATCTCCGCATCTCGGTTACCGATCGGTGCAATTTCCGATGTCCATACTGCATGCCGGCCGAGATATTCGGCGAGCGGTACGAGTTCCTGAAGCGAGAAGAGATTCTGTCGTTTGAGGAGATCACCCGTTTGACTCGGTTGTTTGTGGGATTCGGCGTTCGGAAGGTGAGGATTACCGGTGGCGAACCGCTGGTGCGGGCACAGGTGACGGAGTTGATCGCGCGGCTCGCCGAGATTGATGGTGTCGACGACTTGGCGATGACGACCAACGGCTTCTTGTTGCCGCGATACGCGCACGAATTGAAGGACGCAGGTCTCAATCGATTGACCGTTAGCATGGACGCGTTAGATGAGGATGTCTTTTCGCAGATGAGTGGGCGTCCGTACGGACCTGAAAAAGTTTTGGCAGGAATAGATGCGGCGCGAGACGCCGGTTTCTCGCCGCTGAAGATCAACACGGTAGTCCAGCGGGGTGTGAATGAACAGACGATTTTGGAGACCGCGGAACATTTCCGTGGAACCGGCGATATCGTTCGCTTCATCGAGTTCATGGATGTCGGGAATCTGAATGATTGGGATCTCTCTCAGGTGGTGTCCGGCAGGGAAATCATCGAGATAATCGATGCTGAATATCCGCTCGAGCCTGCAGATGCCAACTACCAAGGCGAGGTGGCTTCGCGATATAGGTACGTTGATGGGCAAGGCGAGATCGGCGTCATCACATCGGTCACGCAGCCATTTTGTGGAGATTGCACAAGGGCACGACTGACGACCGAGGGTCGCTTGGTAACCTGTCTATTCGCGACGCGCGGCACCGATCTGAAGGAACCACTGCGGGACGGTGCTACAGACGACGAATTGAACGAGATCATTGAAGGTGTTTGGTTGAATCGAAGGGACCGCTATTCTGAAACGCGATCGAGCAACACCGCGCTCGAAGGAGCGGGAACCGGCGCGATAAGAGAAAAGATCGAGATGTTTCGGTTGGGAGGTTGATTTCATCTTTCCGAATTCGAGAATCTTGATTTACGATGTTTCAATCGGGGCCTCAAGTTAAAACGGTTTGAAACCCACAAAAGTTATGGCACAGCAAACGGAGACAAAATCCGATACCGCGGCGACGGTCCGCATCAATTGTGGCGTCGATTTCCAACCCCAGCAGGGTTTCGGCGCGTACAGCGCGATGGTTCGTGTTGGCGACGAGCAACTGGAACCGATCGCCGGGGTAGTCGACGACGGGGCGACGTTCATCAGGTGTTGCCTGACCGCGGCGGTTGCAGGTTTCGAGGCCGTTGAAGCGCGCGGCGAGACCGTGGAAGTCGTCACGCCATCGACTTGGGTAGCAGAAACGCTAGGAAACGCTGACGATTTCGCCAAATTACGAACCAGCGATTGGGTTAACGAAGACGGTGAAGAGGTCGTGCACCGCGATTTGCTGGAACGTATAGCGACGTGCATTGATTTGCAGGAACAAGTGTCGTGGCGAATTGCCCAAGACGTCGGTAGGCGGAACCGTAAGCAAGAAAAAGATGCCGAAACGGATGGCGAAGACGGGCCGCAAGTAGCACCTGATTGCCATATCTCGTACGCGGCTGCGACGGTTGGCAATTCTGGTGTCGGCGCATACTACATCGAGCTCGATATCCCGGGACGGCTTGAGAAGGTCTCGAGCAAGTTCCAGACCACCAATTTCGCGCGGATGCACCTAACGGCCTGCATCGACGCGATGCGTGAAACTCGTCGATTGCTGAGAAAGGACGGTCTTCGGATCGTTTTGGACACTCCGCACGAATTGACGGCCAACGCGGTGAACCGGGGTTGGTTAGACACGTGGTCGCAGAACAAATGGAATCGTCGCGAAGGCGATCGTGTGCGCAATGCCGATTTGTGGCAAGAGTTCCGCCGTTTGATGCAGCGCCACGACGTTGAAGTTCGCCTCACGATGGATTCGGCGAATTCGGATGTCATGTTAGGCCAGGCCGAGGGTTTAGCGAGGCGCGAGGTCGAGCGCGTTCGAGAGGATACGGCATTCAAGGAGCAAGAGGAAGCGGCGGTCAAAGATGGGACATTGATACGCATCTTCACGGATGGGTCGGCGTTGGAGAATCCTGGACCGGGTGGTTGGGCCGCGATCATGGAAGTGAGGGATAAGCGGGCGAGCCAATCACAGGGCTACAAGCACACGACCAACAACCGTATGGAGTTGATGGGCGCGGCTGAAACTCTGGATTTGTTGGTCAAACTTCAATCTGACGAAAAGATCGATAACGTAGAAAAAGTCATCTTGATCACCGATTCCGAGTACTTGGTGAGTGCGATGACGCGCGGGTGGGCGAAGCGTTGGCGCAAAAATCAGTGGGTTAAGCAGGACGGCGAGAAGGCCAAGAACACCGATCTGTGGAAGCGCATCCTTCATGCCAGCGACCGCTTGAAGCGAGTGGAGTTCCGGTGGGTGCGTGGCCATGCCAAGTTCCGTGAGGCCTTTGGGTCGGAAAACGCGATGTGTGACAAGCTAGCCAAAGAAGCGGCTGGTCAGCCGGAAGAAAAGCTTGCTGGCGGACGACGGGTACGAAGATTAGTTCGCCTGGGTTCAGTTGGCGGTCAACGCGGGCCCAGGAAGATTTTAGCGGTCTTCGCGCTTTCGGCCTCGCGCATCGATGGACACCCTAGAATTGTGCCCAAGATGACGTCTAGCTCACAACAAGATCTTTTCGTTTACTCCGATGGTGGTGCCATCGGTAACCCGGTCCGGGGGGATTCGGTGTCGTGATCGAAGCTGATGGCAGAGTTGGACTCTGTCGCATGGGTATCACGTACGACGAACAATCGGATGGAGTTGCTGGGGTTATCGCAGGGCTTGAGAGCACCGTCGATTTGGGCGCAGGACGACGCACCGAGGTCGTAACGGATTCTCGTTATGTGGTTGATGGAATGTCGAAAGGTTGGGCGAGAGAGATGGCGAGCGAACGGATGGCGGCGCAACGCGAAGGGCGATATGGCGTTGAATCCTGATTTGTGGGGTCGATTGCTCGATGTCGTTGAAGGCCGAGACGTCGTGTTTCAGTGGGTGAAGGGTCACGCCGGACATCCTCAAAACGAGCGATGCGATGCGTTGGTGGGAGAGGTTTCGCGGTTGTCGACAAGCGAGCAACTTGTCGACGCCGGTTACGAGCGAAAAGGGAGCGCGTTGACGACGCGATCGGCGCCGTTTGAGCAGATTGGTCGCGACGGTTGATGCCGTGGTCGAAGATGTCGATACTGAACCGGAGCTGACGCATATCGATCAATCGGGTGAGGCGCGCATGGTTGATGTTGGTGGCAAGGCGATTACCGAGCGTGTCGCCATCGCCGGGTGCGAGGTGTTGATGTCGGCGAACACGCTTTCGCTGATACGGTCTGGCGGGATCGGCAAGGGTGACGTTGTAGCCACGGCGAAGCTTGCCGGAGTAATGGGCGGAAAGCGAACGTGCAGAACTGATTCCGATGTGTCACAACATCCCGATTTCTCAGATTGAAGTTGACATTGAGGAGTGGCCGACGGTTCCGGATTGCGGATCGAGGCTACGGCGCGCGCGACGTGGCGCACGGGTGTGGAGATGGAGGCGATGACTGCGGCGTCGATCGCTGGCTTGACGGTTTACGACATGTGTAAGTCTGCCGAGAGGGGCATTCGTGTGGCGAATTTGCGCTTGTTGCGAAAGAGTGGTGGTAAGAGTGGGGATTACGTCGCGAAGTAGAGGTGGGCGCAGGCGGTCGATTCTTGACCGAGCGGATTGAGTTGGGTACCATAGTGGGTACGGTGCGAGGGTGTTTTGAGGGTCGTTTAAACGGCGGCGATGTAGCTCAGCAGGTTAGAGCGAGCGCTTCATAAGCGCTAGGTCACAAGTTCGAGTCTTGTCATCGCCACCACACCTCCAGACTAGTGGACCTCTGGATGTTGGGGATCGGGAAAGTACCGTAAATTCTGGTGACGGGCGGTTAGCTCAGCTGGTTAGAGCGCATGCTTCACACGCATGAGGTCGGAGGTTCGAGTCCTCCATCGCCCACCATCTCCTTTTAATTTGGGAATACAGAAGCAATGATTACGGTTAATGTTTCGATAAATTCTCGTTCGGATTTTGAGTATGATTGATGCGGTTGCAGCTGGTGAGGAGTTTGCGATTCAGTATGCCGTGCCAGCCGCAAAATCAGTGGTTCATCAACAATCGGAAAAACGCAGATTCTGATCTGTGACTGGTCTGATCGAATTTGACGAAAGGGCCCCACGATGGCTCAAATAACCCTGTTGGATCTAGTTCACAACGGCACCATGGACGCCGAAGTGGCGGCTACGCTGTCGGCGATCGCAGAAGAGAAGCGATCATTTCATGGTCGTGGCGATACCGCGGTTCGCTGGCAAGACTACAGTCGGCACTGCGATGCTCGGTTTCGCGCCCCGTAGCGCGCCACTCCACGTCCTTAGTGGTGACGAGTCGGAAATCGTCGAACTCAGGCAACGTCCTGACGGGAGCTATCTGGTTGTCGGCGAATTCAGCAAGGGGCAAGTGCCCACGTATATCTGGGGGTCGCCGGTCCGCAACGTGTTCGAAACGCTACGCGCTGGCTTTTCGCTGGCGGTCAGTCTTCACGCACCGACTGTGGAAGAGGCATACGCCGCCGTCTGCGACGGCAACGGTGTGGCAGACGAAGACGCCGCGCAGATAAGTTACATGGTCTATATCGAACGCATGGGCAACGACGAGGATGACTTCTGGCGTCGCATTGCGGGTGTCTACGAGATCGACAGCGTCACCGATGGCGTTCCTCATACCCGTCTGCTTCACCGATGGAACCGAGAGAGCGATCAATTCGAGCGATTGGACAACCCAAAACTCCTCTCGATGGATGAGGCGGAGCTAACGCAACGGGCGCAGCGCATCCAGCGATTGGTTGACGCCGGCCGCACGAGCGAGGCCGATGTGGAGACGTTACGTATTCCGTAGCGGCTTGATCCAACGGCAATCAACTAACCTGGGCAGCCTCAACTGGCGGTGCAGGTGGTCGAGACACAATCGTCATTTAGTCATATACTTAGCTAATCGAGTTCTCGAGGAGACAGCGATGGTTACAGTGAACGTACATGAAGCTAAAACTCACCTTTCGCGGCTGCTGGCGCAGTCGAAGCCGGTGAAGAGGTAATCATCGCGCGTAACGGCGCCCCGGTTGCTAAGCTGGTGCGAAGCAAGCCTGCGGGAAAACGTCAACCCGGAACCTTGAAAGGCAAGATCTCGATAGACGAAGGGTTCTTTGAGCCTTTGCCGGAAGAAGAGTTAGCTGCTTGGGAAGGCCGTTAGCCGTAGGAACTCTTAACGAACATTTGGATTAGTCAATATACTTGACTAAGTTGGTAATGAAGGAGTCGAGAATGGTAACCGTCAACGTGCATGAAGCAAAAACTCACCTTTCGCGATTGCTTGCAAATGTCGAAGCAGGCGAGGATGTGGTCATCGCTCGAAACGGCAAACCTGTCGCGAGGTTAGTGAGTTGCCACCAATTAGTGAGGCGTCAACCTGATCTGCTGAAAGGCAAATATGTCGTTCCCGACAGTTTCTTTGATCCTTTGTCTGAGGACGAGTTGAAGTTGTGGGAAGGCGGTTAGTTGTGCAGGTAGTTTTAGATACGCACGCGTTACTGTGGTGGTTTTTGGACAGTCAACGCCTCACGAGGTTGGCTTATCAGGAGATTACAAAAGGGACAAACGGCGTTCACGTCAGCGCCGCGTCAATATGGGAGATATCCACGAAGTACTACGTTGGTAAACTCCCGGCGGCAAAAGAGTTGTTGCTTGACATCCAGGGCTACATGGCGTCTCAGAACTTCGTCGAGTTGCCAGTGACGATTTCCGATGCCATCCGTGCTGGCTCTCTGCCCGGCCCCCATCGCGATCCCTTCGACAGGATGCTCATCGCACAGGCGATCTCGAACGACCTGGTACTGATTTCCAACGAAACTCTATTCGACCGCTACGGCGTGCGGCGGCTTTGGTGATGAACCGTCGTTACCGCGCGATCATGTCGAATTGTTCGTAGGTTCCGCCGAGGACGGGATGTGGGTCGATGCCCATCCACCCGTCTAGGAGAGTTGAGTACAGCCCTCTGAAGTCGTTGTTGTAGGCCATGTCGCCTTCGACTTGGTCGATCGGTTCGAGCGAAGGGTATTCGCCGTACAAGCCGCCCTTGACGTTTGAACCCATCACGAATGCGACGCCGCCTGAGCCGTGGTCGGTGCCGGACCCGTTGTCATCGATCCTGCGTCCGAACTCGCTGAAGACCATCACAATTGCTTCGTCTCCGCGGCCGTGCTCCTCTAGGTCGGCGAAGAAATCGCCAACGGCGGTAGCCAGTTCATTCCAGAGATTGGCGTGATTAATCAGTTCGCCGGAGTGCGTGTCGTAGCTTCCATGCTGGGTGTAGAAGATGCGGGTGCCAACGTCGGCGAACATCACCTGTGCGATGTCCCGCATGGCTTGGGCGATCTGGTTGTCGGCGTATTCGATGGATGAGTGGTATTGAGTCGGCGCTGCTCGGAGGATATCGGCGCCGAGGTAGGCGCTCATTCCGGTTTCGCCAATCGCATCAAGGATCGCGTCCCTGCCTTCAGCGGGGCCGTACATTCGGGTGAAGATATTGAGCGCCAGATCACGGGTGGCCGTATCTTCGATGTCGGGCATTAACCCGTAGGTCGCCAAGTTTCCAACCGAGGCGACCGGCACGCCTTTGCAGTGAAGAGCGCGGGGTAGGCCACGACCAAAGTTGACGCCGGCGACGACGTTGTTGTGTTCGGGGTCGATTTCGCGTATCGTTCGTCCCAACCAGCCGTCGGGTGCGACATCTACCGATTCTGCTGTGTGCCAGATGTCCATGGACCGGAAGTGTGACCGGTTTGGTTTGGGGTATCCGATGCCGTTAACGATGGCCACGTTACCGTCGTCCCAAAGATCCTTGATGGGGCCCATGCTTGGGTGCAGTCCAAATTTACCGTTGAGGTCGATTACCTCGTTCTCTTCTAGTCGGATTGCCCGTCTAGAGTCCTGATAGATGCCGTTCGTGTACGGCACCACGGTATTCAAAGCGTCGTTTCCTCCGGATAGCTGGATGACCACCAGAGCTGGATCGCGTTGGGAATTCATTACATTTTCTCCTGTCCTCACCCCCGGATCGAGTCCGGGGCAGGCTCTAGCCCTCTCTCATCGAGAGAGAGGCCATGATTTGGCGTTGCGGTTTTAGCATTCCCCATGTTGGTTTAGGCGATTATGTCGAAGACTTGGATTCTGTGTCGAACGGTGTCGACGACGTAGACGTGGTCCCCTATCAATCTGATCGACGACGGTCCCCAGAAGTATTTCTCGATGTGAGAAGACTCTTCGTTCGCGTCTCGTTCAAATAGATCAGGGTCGAGATCGAGGTTCGCCTTAGCTCGAGCCGAGGCTTCCTCTTTGTTGGTGTCAAGGAATGCTTGCGACCACTTTGAGATCGTGGCCTGTCCGCGATTTGCTTGGACGAATTCGCCGTCGGGATTGAAGACTTGGATCCGGTGGTTACCCCAGTCGGCAACGTAAACATATCCGTCTTCGTCTTCGCAGGCGCTCGACGGACGGTGGAGTTCGCCTTCACCTTCACCGGATGTTCCGACCGAGGACACGACTTCGCCGTCGGGAGTCATTTTTTGAATTCGGTCGTTGCCCCAATCGGCGACAAGAACGCTTCCATCTTGACCGGTAGAAATCCCCCA